GTTGTTAATAATTAAATAAACACATTACGAATTTTTGCATAGTTAAGAGGAAAAGCCATTGTGAATTGTTTCATGATATCCTTTCCGATGGTTAGTGGTCTGGCCAACCTTTAATCATTAGTTAGGAAAACCCCCCGTTTGATTGTTCTATGTTGCTTGTAGGGACGCCTCAAGTGATATAGTTGTAAATATTTCTTGTATATATTCTTTTTTTATTTTATCATCTTAGGCTGTGCCTGTAGTATTTAGCATTAGCACCACAGTAGAAATTGTGCAATAGAGTATTTTGAGAAGGCTCCTAAGCTGTGTGCAGAGACGGAGGCCTAGTGAGAGAATTGAGTATTGAGAACTCCTAAGCTGTGTGCAAAGACGGAGAAACTTTATAATTATTGGACTTTATGCTTTATATTTTTTTTTATATATATTTATTAGACACGTTACGAGCTGGTAACTGGGATTTACTCGCTCGCATTTTGGCGACGACGATAAGTGGAAGAAACGAGATACGTGGTAAGAAAAACATTACCTGTGAAAACAAGGGTAAAGATGAAAGGAATCATTAACACCATAGCCACCGAACAAAAGGAAGGGTAAATACTATCACCACCGAAAGACACTATATGTTATTATCATATACTATATAATTAATGGCCGAAGAAGCCTAGACGTAAAATTCCGGAGATAAAAAAGCGAAGTAAAACTGTACCTTGAGAATAACTAGCGATGGTAATAAAGGATAAGAGACAAGAGGTCAAGAAAGGTTAGAATTAAAAACTATACTGTTAGAATACAGAAGTGTTCAAAGAAAGGCTATGAAGAAAATTATACTTTTAAAATCAACAAAGTGTTCAAGGAAGACTATACTAAAAACTATACTTTTAGAAACAAAGAAGCGCTCAAGGAAGGCTATGACAAAAAATATATCCTTAGAATCAAAGAAGAGTTAATGACGAAAAATAGATTGAAGAAATCATTTTAAAATTTTTAATAACGTTCAAAGGTTAAAAATTCAGAAAGGTTAAAATTCAAAAATTCGAAAATTCAAAATTCGACCCTTTTATACAGAAGAATTGATCAGACATCCTGTCACGGAAAAAGTATCCAGGTACTAGGAGAGCAAACGGAACATGAATAAACATGAAAATTCAATTACCGAAATATTGCACAAAATCACTATGATTAGCAAAACAAAATATAAACAAAGCACAAATGAACCAGAAGGCTAGATAAACCTGTTCAATTCAAATATAACGAGTCTTCGGAAAATAGTTCAAAAAAAAAGGGGCCTGGACCTACGAAAATTTAAAAATAATACATTCGAAAAGTTTTAATTAAAGAATGGAAATAAAGAAAGAAATGGATACCGAAAGGATAACAGGATCTTTTGATGGAAGAATAAATGAAATAGTACAAGGAGGAAGAAATGTCAAAACAAGTGATCGTTATAGGATCAAAGTTTTGCAAAATGAAGTCTAGAAAAAATAAAAAAAAAAGAGAGACCGTTATAAAGAAAAGAAAAATAAATTATAATTAATTAGGAAATGCAACATGTCGGTAAAGAATAACTGTAATTAAATAGCAAGAAAGAATTTTAAGCATCAGTAGAACACCATGTTTGAATTAAAAAAAGAGCTAAGACGCTAGAAGAAGAAACACAAATGAAAGCGTAAAAAACGAAGATATTTTTTGTTTCGTGGAACATTTGAAAATTAATTCTAATTCATGTAGCAACAAAATTTCTACAGCTCGAGTCATCTAAAACCGACCACTTCACTTTGTCGACCAGCAGCAAAATTCCAAATTATGTTGCACTGAAATTAAATATTCTTGGAATAATACGATAACGTTTGTATTTTTTTTAAAGGCATGTTTTGCATCTAATGCTTGTCTATAACATTCCATATATTTAAAATATTTATTTGCAAATTTTATAGAGAAACTGCATCCAAAGTCTTGGGAACAATTTTTTGTAAATCATTTGTCATTATCTTCGGATGTTTTTTTATCTTGTGAAGCGTGAAATCGTTTAGTTTGTGGTGCATTCCCAACAGTGTTGTGACCAGAAACTCTTTTGGCTTTCCGAAATGTTTTGGAAAATGAACTTACACTAAGCAGAAAACTAAAACTAAACCTAAACTTAAGCATAAACTACTAACCTAAACTAGTTTTAGGTGATTTCTGTTTCGGGTCACACACTGATTCCCAAGTAGACAGAACGACGTGCAGAAGGCTTATAATTATTTATTCTATTTTGAAGGACTTTCACAAAATAACTGCAATTAGAATCTAAATCTGTATCCCAACTTAGTTCACTATCACTATTACTATTTGATTCATCATCACTTTCATTAATTGATTCGTTACTTGATTCATTATCACTGGTGTCACTTGATTCATTATCTTCATTATCTTCGTTATCATTTTCATTTTCATTATTATGAAGAACAACTTTCGAAATGCCTTTTTTTCTTAGAGACAAATTTTTTAAATGTTTCTGCCTTTTTGTAAGTGATGGCATACTCAATAAGAAGAAATGAACAAATGGCAAGCTTTTCTTTAGAATGTGTAACGAGCAAAATTCAGGTCAATCACTATTTAAACATATAGATAGTCACTCGAATTAAAATTGCCATAACTTTTAATCATTATTGTTCAACTTTTCATCTTTGGCATTTACTATATAAAACTATGAAGAATTTGAATCCAAAAGTGCTCTGTGTGTCCACGTGATAGGCTTCAAAAATACCGCACAAAATTGGTCGGTTTTAGATAACTCGAGCTGTACTTGCGGGAACAAAATTAATTTATTAACATACAATGAATCAAAATCGAGAGATGAAATAAACAAAATTTGCAAGAATAAATTAATTGTAATAGCTCTAGAAGGAAAACCAATAAAATGCTTGAAGGACTAAGTACTATGAGTGCGGCTAGTACAAGCGCAAATTCTAGTGGCTGAAGGAACCAAACGGAAAGTACAAAATTACACCATAACAAGAATCAAACAGACATGAAGGAAATAAACAAGTAATCTGATTAATTTCATATATAATCTTTATTGTTAATTATCTCAATGATTAATTTTGTATATAATCTTTGTTGTTAATTATCTTGGTGATTAATTTGATATATTATCTTTATTGTTAATTATCTTGGTAATTAATTTCGATGATGCTAAATATCGTTACATATTGCAAGATATTGGGTGTGCGATGGACAATTCCAGTTACATCCAGGGTGTCATGATATTGGCCGCTGCGCGCCCAATATCTTTTACATAATTATCGAAAATTATCTTATTTCGTTAATTTTCAATTTTTTATTGAGATAAATATTGATAAATGATGTATCTCAATATTTATCCCCTAGAAAATTTTCCTGATGTTAAAGCAGAATTTGATAAATTGATATGAACCATGGAGGGTATATCCTCTTTAAAGAGATAATGTGAAATCTCCGTTTTTTCCTTTTTTGATTATTAATGAGAAATTTTGATGCACTCAAAGCTAATCATTATATAAAGCTTTTGCTTTATTTCTTCAATTTTGCATTTCGTTTCCAAAAAAAACTGTATGATGGAAAGAAGTAGACATAAATGTTTTAATTACAAGTATAACATTAATTATGCAAGAATCCTAAATAATATGTATAAATTTGTATCTAAGCTTTGGTATTTAAATTTTTGTTTGCACGATATTAATATTAGTAATACTTATATCTGATGCATTCAAGTGGACATAATTTTATTGCACACTTAACATAATAATTCAAATAGAGACTAATATCCTACAACACCTTTCTGCCTTGACTTCATGGAAGCAGATCTTGTGAACATTTTTTGGAATGACGCAAGAGGTTAGTTTATGCACATCATCTATACTCAGGTTAAAAAAATTAGAAATACCACATGTTTGATTTTTAAAAAACCACCGCCATTCAATTTAATTTTTGGAGTTCTTTCGACCGATTTTCGCAGACCAAATTGATTAACCAAAAACATAATTAATAAAATTATCTTGTTAAGCCGAATTTAATATAATTTGATAAACCCGAACTTCATAACTTTAAGATTTTGACGCAGATGATATTCGATAAAATTCGGTTTATAATTACCTTAAAAGTAAATATCTATGTCTTACAATTTCCTCGTAAAAAAAAAAAAATTTTTTTTTATTGACTTATCAATTTTTTATAGTTCTAATTAAAAAATATGAAGCATAAACATATTAATAATAATTATTATGATAATAATAATATTACTATTAATGATGAGGAATATCGAATAATCAGGTTGGTTGTTAATTATTATTATTATTTATTATTATCGCAAGGATTTTATTTCCAATAAAATGAATATATATACATAAAATGCAGAAATTATGGAAGAAAGCTTAATGTGTTCAAAGCATATAAAAAACCTATTGAATCAGAATATTATATTATAAAAAGATCTTATGGTATTGTTTCATATAAAAGAGAAATAGATGCATTAATTTTATTGAAAGATGCAAAGGTAATTTCTTAATGTATTGCTATGAACAGACAAATATATGTATTTGAATTTTCTTTTTTTTTTTTATTACAGAATATTATGCGAATTGTAGATTATGATTCGTATAAGATGGTTGTTATTGGTGAATATGGACTATATGATTTAGAAATTTTTTTCAAACATCAGATATGGACTCAAAGACAAGCAGAAAAGGTGCCAATAATAAAAGTAAGTTACTCATAAGAACCTAAAAGCTTAAATTTTATATTTATCTTACAAATTATGCCAGATGAATCATATTGTCTTAAAACATTTTATAGGACATTGTAGCTGCATTATCTGAATATCAACATCATAATATAGGTAATTAATTACTTGCATATATTTTAATTACTCATTTATTTATGTGATAAAG